TCTGTGGGAATAGGGGCTCCATCTTGATAGGCAATCAAGAAGCAGTCTAAACCTTTGCTGCTTAAATATTTTTTACTTAACCTATTAAGGCCCACAGTATGAAGAAATCAATAGCGCTTAAATGAATAAATATCAGTGGTATTAGTAAGTCAGTCTGTGCTGCTATGGTGGTAGATATTATTAAACTTATTACATTTACAATTATAAGAGCTAAATGACCATATCTGATGCAGAATAACTGTGTTCTCTTAAACTGATTGATTGGTTATTATCACTGATCAGCCATCATAGGAAAAGTTTTATTATCCAGTGCTGAAGCTGGGATGGGAAACCTGTGATTCTCCATATGTTGCTGGGACTCCAGTTCCCACCATCCCTGACCATTAGCCATACTGGTTGGGGCTGATGGGAGCTGGAGTCCAATAACATCTGTACCATCATAGATGCCGCCACAGATGCCCCATTAAGTGCTAAAGCTCATCACTTAACGATCACCACCACTTCAGTTCATCATAGCACTTCTATCTTTTCTCCTTAGCCTCACCTAGTATAGTAGCACTCAGTATATTGACTTGTCATTTAACAATTCCCAAGTTTACCTGTCAACCACCTTCTCCCTCTCCCAGGCCTTCTATGGTATCTTTGGGCTGCCAGATCTGGCACAGGGCCACCAAGGTTTTTCAGGTTCATTAGTCTGCTTTTTACAGGTGTCAATTATTCCATAACATCTGCTCACCTATCAAATGGGAGTTCATGCCTGGTTATATCTTATGTATCGTTAGTTCAAAGAGCTTAGTCTGATGTTAATTTGTTAAAAGGCCAGTAACAGGAAAGACTGTGATGAAGGAATCTGACACAGGGAGACACAAGTGTTGATTCCTTATAATTGATTTGGCTGCATTCTCTGTGGCCTTCCAGCCAAGGACTCTGATATTAAAGGCAGCTGCCATACTTGTCAGACTATGTCCATCTAGCCTAGTGACTACTCTGACTGGCAGCTGTTCTTCATGGCGTTAGACGGGAAAGAGATTACAGTGAAAGACACACAGACGATGCCACGGGTGGCAAGACACTGGTCAGAGGAGAGATGGCTTTAAATCCCAGGAAATGGATTTACCAGGTGGCCTTGCCCAGCTCACGAACCTCCAGCCTCCGTAACCTCCGTACTGGAAATATCAAAGGCAACCATCCTTCATAGGCATTCATGTGTTTTAAAATTTTCATTTATGAATCGCTTCCCATAAAGCATCAATAGTCAAACATAAATATGATTTCTAAGCCAATACAATTAAAGAGTGAGATGCAAATCTCCACTTCAAAGACTTCTTGGAAGAGGAAGGTCTTCAACAGCAGGGAGTAGCTATGGTTAGGTCCTGCCACACTAAAATTCCCATTCCAACATGATGTTTAACAGACTTCCTGGAGAGATGGCATCTGCAGGAGACCCTGCCCGATGCAATGACTCACTGAATATATAAGGGGTGAGATGATCTTTTAGGTATGTGGTCCTGAGCTGTACAAAGCTATGTACACCAGCACTAGCACCTTGAACATACCCAGGTAGCTAATTGGCAGCCAGTGCAAGTGTTTCAGAAGCAGCCAGCGCTACATGATGGCGGTATTCTGCCCCAGTGAGAACCCCAGCCGCTGCATTTTGCACAGGCATCAACTCCCAATCAACTTCAGGGGCATCCCCACATGGAGCACATGGCAGTAATCTGACCTGGAAGTTACCGGCACATGAAGAACAGGGGTCAGGCTGTCTCAGTCCAGATTGCAGATGAAATTCTAAATTGTCACCAGTGGCCAGGCATCTTATTCCATTGCTCAGATCCTCTCACTCATTTATTACTCTCTCTGTGTGTGTAAGTTCATGAGGCTCCCTGGCAATCCCCATTCAGATATTGCCCTGGCTGAGACCAGCTTAGCTTTAACAATGTGACAGCATTATCATGTGCCCACAGACCATCCTCTGGCTCCCTAGCAAACTGTCTTTGGGCAAATATTAGCTTGCAGAAGGCAAACACTCTGAAGGAGCAAAGAGGGATTCTTCTTTAAGACAATCTGATGGCAAGCAGATATTCAGAAGCACTTTAAAATTATGTAAGCCCTAATACGCTTTAATCACTGCTTTGTACTCACAATCAAGATTGAGTCCCCTCAGCCCCACTTATGGCTGCTGCGCTATGCAACTCTTAAACAGCGGTAATAATTGTGTACAATCGAGATATGGTGGTTATTTCAGATTAGCCTTAGGTAAATGGGTAGGATATGTGCACTCTCACAGTTTGGCCCGATTTTAAGGTTCAGTATGCACTCTGTGTAGGTTAGGATGAGCACAGTGTAACAATTCTGCATAATGATTCTTAAGGTAAAACAACCTGAGCACCTAGCTGTCGATGTTAACAGATGCCACATAAAAAGGCCACATAATTATAGCAGCAACAACATCCGCCATACCATCAGGAGCTCATTCACTTGGACACCCTCCAATATTCCACACAACATCACTCATCAACAGCGACAGCCTTCTGGTGTCTACACAGGATGAACAGAACAGCCTCTAAAGATAAATGGACCCAGATTTGAAATCCAAAGCAGCAATGTTGAGAAAACTCATCATTCTTCATCCACCAAAAAAATCCTTCCAGTTGGAGATGCCAGTGCAATATGGTGGGAAAAGACCTTATTGGAAAATTTGATTCTATTCTCATTCAGGTCTTGACCAAAACCCAGGCTTGCTATGAATAGTCACTATTCTGATATGCCACAGGCATTCTGGACTTTTTGGATTTCATGTCCTTTTGCTTCTGCGGTGCTTTTTCTCTCTGTATACTAGTGCATGTGTGCGCACACTCATAGGTGCAACCTGCCAAACACATCTAACAGTGAGTGCAACTCCACAAAAACTAATGCCACCATAAATTCTTAGCTTTCAATATGCCACAATGCCCTTTGCTGCTCCCCACCCCCCACCCCCGGTGACAGACTAATGCTACAAACCTACAAACACTTCAGAGTAAGTCCCACTGAACTCAGTGAGATTTGCTGCTGAGTAAACATGCACTGGATTTGTGGAAAATACTGGGGGGGGGCATTATCCCATAGAATGCACACCACCTCCCCTAACTGTGTGAACAAACCTTAATAGCACAAAGCCTTTGATCTAGCCCTCCCCCCCCACACACACATTTCCCTACCAGCTTAACAGCGGGAAATGAAAGGACAGGAAACAATATTGCTATATCTGAGAAGAATGTGAAACCTGTGTTCACTCTTTAAGGAAAAGCAACACCATCACCATTACATATTCACACCAGCCAATATTTTTTTTGTTTGCACCCTTGTAAGAACAGGAAACAGAACGGAAGGAATAGATGCTAGCTGCTGCTTTGAGCGCAAACCATCTTCTCACATAAAGAAGGGCAGAAAAGAACAGATTAGCACTTAAATAAAAGTGTGGGGCTTAATAGAGGGAGAAACAGAGGCTCTGGAATCCACTCTCCCCCACCATCCAATGCACAGATAAAAGAAGGCAAAGGAAGCCTACTGGGCCTCTGTTTTTATCACACATATGGAGATGGGAGAGTCCCAATGAAATGGTAAAGCTGCTTTGTAGGTGCACAAATGTTAACACTTCACATTCTACATTCTTGATGCAAGGATATATATTTTTCTGGCAAGGTTTCCATGTGCCTGTAGTAGCTGTATGGCAAGGAGAAGATAGAATGAGGTGGGCAAAACTTCATCAACTGAACTTCTACTTTCATAAGTAGATTGGAGGCACACAGAATTCAGCAACCCCATGCACAAGGAGCGATCGGATTGCCCATTCTGGATAGGCAGGCTGGTTTACAGGTGAAGATGCCAAGGCACTTGCTGCTGGACCAGGAAGCAAAGGTCTGCAGCCAGGACAGGTTACCTGCTCCCACGGAAACAGGTGGAATCCACTCAATCCACAAGGAAGAAGATTCTGTACTCCTCTTTGGAGTCTGTTGAAATTTTCCTCTACCTCACTGCAAAGTCTGCCAGCAGCTGACCCTGAGCTATGTACCTAAGAATTCCTCAACCAGACAGGAATTCAACAGGTGTCTATTTCTCACCACATTCCAGAACGGTGGCAGAAGTTGCACCAGCCCTGACATTTTTAGCGGGCATGGCAAACAGCTCTTGAATAAGAGTTTGGAGGAACCAGATTAATCTGACACATCATTAAAATCACACAGAGAAAGCGCCCTGAAGACCTTACCATCCCACACCCCTCATCTAAGGGAAGGATTCTTGATACTAAATTCCATCACTCAGGCAAGCATGTGCCAGGAGGAGAAGCAAGCAAGGTACGCTGTGCAAACAGTGGCAAGTGCAGTGAAATGATCCAGCTGAATCCAAACACACCGTGCCAGCCTACATGGCTGGAAAGGGCTATGACAGAATCATAGAATCATCAAGTTGAAAGGGACCACAAGGGTCATCTAATCCAACGTGGGGCTCAAACAACAACCCTGAGATTAAGAATCTGGTGATCTGCCAACTGATGATAATGGATGTCAATTAGTCAGACTCTCAGTCATGCCTGGAACATCATTCCAGAAGCCATGGGGGGGGGGCGGATTTTGGCCCTACAGGTGGAAACTGGTTGCAGTCCCCCAATCCAAGAAAAAGAAACTCTGCACATGCTTCAAAGCCTCCTCCTAGCATAAAACTAAATCTCAGGGCTCAGAGAAATGGGTCCTCTCCTCAGTAAGGCGGGATCCTCTCACGCCAAAGATATTTAACCCTACTTAGTCATGGCAAATCTAGATTTATCACTTCGCCTGGATGAGGAAGAGCCAGCCCCCCCCCCCAGTGTTGCAAAGCGCAAGGCGGTAGTCGCCCGTGCATAACTTCAAGCGCGACGGTGAACTTTGCCACTTTGCTTAACTCTGCCCACCAGCGCGCGCGCGCAGACACACGCGCCCCCAGCCCGTCCAGGCCAGCCTCCTCTCCTCTCCCTTCCTTACCGTGACTCTGCTTCGACTTCAGGGCGCCGATGAGCTGCAGCCGGTCCGCCAAGCACTGCAAAAGTAGCAGCACTCCCGCCGCCACCTGGGCTCCCCCCAGCTTCGCCATAGCGCCTCGCGGGCTGCGCGCTCGCCGGTCCGCCTCCCGCTGGACTCTCGGTGCGCCGCTTCGGGGAACGAAAAAGGCAGCAGCAGCGCTCGGGAGGAAAGATTCGCGCGCCTCCCTCCCCCTTCCTTCCCTTTAAATCCGGGGTGGAGGAAAGTCACTTTTTATTCCGATCCGATTTCATTGAGCCGGGCAGGAGAGGCGCCGACGGATCCCAGTCCCGACTGTCGCCGCCGCCGCCTTTTTGTTTTTCCAGCCTGCGAAGCCAAAAGGCGATCTTAGTCCAACGGCATAATAACGAGGAAAGAAGGGCGTAAAAGGGCGTGAGTGCGTTTCCCCGCGGGCGGGAGTGTGAACAAGCGAAACAGAAATCAGAGCCGACCACTAAGTACCAAAGTCGCCCAAAAGCGCGGGGGGGGGAGAGGGGGGAGTGCTTTAGCGTGCGTGTGTGCGATCCCCACCGAGTAACTCTCCCTTTCTTTGCTAAGCCTGAGCCGATCTCCAAGGGAGGAGGGGCGGCCGGCTTCAGAGCCGACGGCGATCCTTTCCCCAAACAAAACAAAACAAGAGCCCTTTCCCTGGGAGTGTCCCCGCCACACACGCGTCCTCCTCGCAGACCCTGCCCCCTTCCTCGCAAACTCCTCCAAGCCGTGACTTCCCGCCGAGCGATCCAGAGGAGAAATCCAGGGGGCAGAGTCTTAAAAGGATTTCGGAGACAAAACGAGCCCTGCGCGAGGACGGGATGGAGCGGGGACGAGGGTGGCTCTCCGAGGAGCCCGAAGGAGGCCGGGTCCAGGCGACCCCCCCCCGCAATTGCCTTAATGCGATTGCTTGAGATTAGGCTGGAGTCTTTTTCTTTTTTAAGAAAAAAAAAGAGGAGGCTCGTCGGCTGTCCAATTAAAAACAAAGCCAAAGGGTAAGTGCGGGCGAGGGGCTGGAGGGAAGCGCCTCCGAAGCCACGCCGAGGTGGTCTCTCGAGGGAGAGGGCGAAGCAACGCCCGGGCAGATGCTGGATGCGAAATAGTTTGGCTGCTTGGCCGCCGGGGGAGGCGGGAGCGGCGCGCTGGCTCTCTCGCTCGCTTCCCTTTGGCCAGGCAGCCGGTGCCTCGCACTGGGGCAACGGGGCTCGCCTCGCTCAAGGCGTAGCAGCCGTAGCCGCCCCGCTCGCCCTCTTCCCCCCACCTTCCTCTGCCGGAAGCCAGCTGCCCCGGCCGATGTTCTTCCCCGGAGGAAGACGACAGACCAGCAGGAGCCGGGAAAGGAGAGAGAGAGAGAGCTCGCCGCCGCCGCGCCTCCTGCTGCTGCCTGGCGCTCCTCTTCGCAGCCGGCAGCGCTGCCTGGGCGCCTCCGCGCGACTCTGCCTCGCTGGGTTTGGTCTCCCAGCAGAGACGGGTCACCCGCGCCCCTCCCTCCCTCCCTCAGCCTGCGCGGAGGGAGAGCCAGAGAGAGGCATCGCTCCTGCGCGGCGGGAGAGGGAGCAGCCGGAGGGCTCCCCCAAACGAGCGCATGGGACCGGAGGGGAAATCCTCTCCGAGGAGGATTGGGCGCAGCCGAGAGAAGCCTTTCGAGGAGCTGCCGTGTCCCCTGGAAACCCCCGTCCCAGCTCTGCCTGCCTGCCTGCCTGCCGTGGGGCTCGTATCGCCCTTTAAAGGGCGCGGGAAACTAGAAATGTGGGGACTTGGGGTTTTCCTCAGGCTGAATTCCGAGCCTTTTCACAATCTGGTGGCGGGAGAGAGGGGAATCAGCTGCGAGGGAGGAAATAAAAGGAGCTGCTCGCCTTTCCTATGGCCAGGCTACACAGCTGCTGTTTGCAGCCCAGTCTGAACGCCGCCTCGCCAACCCCGTCGATGGTTTCTTAGGCACCCCCCTCCCTCCAAACCTGCTTCGCCCAGGGACGTGCCTATAACTATAACTCGTGGTTCTGATGTCCCAACGCTCCCACGGGGCACATTTCATTCAGGCGGAGGAGGGGGTCGTTGGCTAACGGCCAACAGGCAGAAAGGACTGTCCAACAATACGATTATCCACACACACGCATCTGATCCATGGATTAACATCAAAATCCTTGCATTAAAGCTCACTCCTAAGGAACCAGTGGGTCATTAGGCTTTCAGATGCACTTTGAACAAAGAGATGTTCAAAGGGAAAGCTGCTTTTAATAACGCTGCTTTTGCAGGTACTATTGGTCTGGGTCTCATCCAGCATCTTTTCAGTACACTCAGTTAGGATTCAGCAGTCCAGTTGTACACTCTTGGGTATTCAGCATTAGCTTAAGGCGTGCAATAATCACATGCCCACTTTTGCAGCATCTTCATAGCATCCCAAGTCGCTCTTGGAATGCTCTCTTTATCATACCGTCCAAGTGTTTACTTGTGTAACACGCCCTACCATATCTTGCAGAGAAGCACTTCAGAGAGGGCCAAATCGTCGTCATTAGACTTAGTTGATGATATCTTAATTGACCCTCATGGCTCACTCCTGAGGTTGAGCTGCAACATGGAAGCCATAGGAAATGTTTCAATGTGGTTATTCAACCAGTGGCGGACTTTGGGCTTCACAGGCACCCTGTGTGACGCTAACATTCAGGCCACCCTCCCCACCTCTCGCACTCCATTTGGGCAGTCCCTCCAGGGTACTACTCAGTGAATCCACACAGGTCACACTACCGTAAAACTGCCTGTATATTCAACCACACCACAGTAACTATAGACGAGAATGAAGAGACCCTCACCGGTTAACCATCTAATGTAATGATGACACCAGGTGACTGACAGGACAGGTCCTGCCCACCTATCAAAGTTGACCCCTGTGGGTAGGAGGAGAGGTCTGATTCAGCAGTTTGTTCCCAGCAAGAAACTATAAGCAGAGAGTTCAGCTGCACATTCTGCAAGGATTTGTTCCATGCTGGCAAAACAGCACCCATAGGATCTGCTCATCGGCAGATGAGCAGAGGGTACAGTCTTGTTCTCTGCAGCACCCAGCAGGGTTGAAACCTGACACACACACCCATCAAGTGATGGGCTGGTCTTCAGAAGATTGACAGGTGGTCCAATGTGGACCCTCTGGTGGTGCAAGATTGGCCTGTGGGCCAGAGGTTCCCCGCTCCTGCACTAGACGTGGAATAGATGTATTGCACATCTGTATTCCTGCCTGTGTTGTCAGGGGGATCCAACAGTGAGCATCTCTTGCACGCAACAGCTGCTGCATGGCATCTCTGCTATACAGCGCTATACACGGCTCCCATGTGTTAGCTGTAATGTAAAAATCAGCCATCAGTTCACTGTTGCATACCAATACTATGGCATTCTATTCACTTGTATGCTTTTGAGAATATCATCCTTAGTAATTAACAAGACCATTCACCTTTCAAATTGTAATTATATAAATAGGGCTGCAGTGCTTCAAACGTAACAGCTAAATACAGTCATACATTAGCCCAGAAGGATAAGCAGCAAATCAGATTTTATCTAAGCAAGATGTTTAAAGTTGCATCAATCTTATAATTAATTGTTTTACCCTTTCATGCTTTGGCATTCTGGCGCACTGAAGCAGAACTCTTAGCCTCCGTTGTCCCTTGATCTCTCTGGTTATTCGCTGTGAAACACGATGGATTTTTGTTTACAGGTTTGGATTTTTATCCGAAAGGATTTAAATTGATTTAAATTGGCAGAGTGGGGAGAACAAACTAAAAAAAAAAAAAAAAGTAATATAACCACAGTACGCCTCTGATATGCCAGACGCAAATGTGCACACAGAGATGTGGCTCCATGAATTAAAACAATCAAGGCAGCTTGCAACAACAAGAAATACACAATATAAAACTGTAAGAGCCCTGGCATTCAATGCCCCCAAGTAAGAAACGTGTGCACAGATATGCATACTGACCATACCATCTGAGTTATCGGTGAGAAACGTGGGGACAGCATCTGTCTGAAGGGATCCTATATGAGAATAGATACATGCATGGGGGGCTCCCTCCAGGGTGATGGAAACTGAATTAGAGGTTCTGAACCCATGGAAGAAATCCTAAATGTTGAGGGAGTGGCGAGGCATTCTATTCAATTCACATTTAATGGTGAAGCTACCTAATATGTACTCTCCAAAACAATGCAAGAACCAAAGCGTAGTCATCCCATTGAAATTTGCACTTCTCCAACTTTTTTGCACTTCTCCAACTTTTGTGCAATGCAGTTCTCCAAGCAAGTAATGTGTAGAAAAATACATACACTGGGGTAAAGTGTGCATAAAAATGCATTCTATTAGTGAAAATAATGTACCAAAATGCATTATATAACTGGGAAACTGCTTCACAAAAATGTGTATACTGAGCAAAATTGCATGCAAACATGTATACTGTATTAGGAGAAATTTGCACCAAAATGCTAATGAATTTTTATGAGGACTTTTAAAAAAATTAAAATTTTTGAACTGAATTTAAGGCCTCAGAGGATGGTCTCAGGGTCTGGGTAGGTTCATATGGAGAAAGGCAGTCCTTGAGGTATTGCTGTCATGAGCCATTTAGGGCTTTATAGATAAAAAAACAGCACTTTGAATTGGGCCCAGAAACTAATTGGCAGCCAGTGCAGTGCAGGGTCGGTGTAATATGCTCAAACCATCTTGTCTCTGTGTGCAACCAGGTTACTGAATTCTGCACCAGCTGAAGTTAAGGTAAGCAGTTCTGCCCCACCAACTGCTACTGAATATTCCCTTTTGTATGTTCAATACAGAGGTACCTCAGGTTAAGAACTTAATTCGTTCTGGAGGTCCGTTCTTAACCTGAAACTGTTCTTAACCTGAGGTACCACTTTAGCTAATGGGGCCTCCCGCTGCCGCCGCACCCCCATTTCTGTTCTCATCCTGAAGCAAAGTTCTTAACCCAAGGTACTATTTCTGGGTTAGTGGAGTCTGTAACCTAAAGCGACTGTAACCCGAGGTACCACTGTACCCACAGGTACTGTGGGTGCTTAACACCTGAATAGGGCTAAGTTAAACAAAGACCAAGAGACAGCCGATAAAAGCCCAAGGAGTGTAGAAAACATATTCCAAGCTGCAAAAACAAATCAAAACACTAATAAACGTCATATGTAGCAGGAAGGTTTGATTATGTTTTTGGCAAATGTTGGGGTTCTGCTAAGGTTCCAGCAGAATGAACTTCACAAATTCTTTGCAACATGCTCATCTTCCACGCCCTCCCTTTCTTCTTTCCACTAATGCTTCAGACAATTACCTGCTTACTATTACAAAGCCAACAACCCAGGAGTCCATTTAACATCTTTTCATTTTTAGATGTTGTACGTATGACTTTGAAAATAGTGACTCGTATCACTATTAAACAATCCACTACCGTTTATTGAGATGTGCATGCTTTCTCTTGTTACAATACATAAAGCAGAGCATGCAGTGTTAATTTTGCCATTGAAGAGAGAAGAAATTGTCAAGTGTCCTGGGATCCCCCAAAGTCTTTCAGCTTCTTCATTCTCTTGCTAGTAGATCCGGAGGAAGATGGCAGCTGTTACACTTCTTGAAGCCTGTTTGGTCTGTTAATGCAACATTAGCAGATTTATCTTTTTGAAAGTGAAATTCTTAAAGTGGGAAGTAATTGGTTTGATACGTTTAAAGAACACCTGCTGGGATAATTACCCATCTATCTCACACTGAGGATGAGAAGATGAATGAAATAAGAATTGCAAAAGCTTTATTGGCGCAATGCAAGATCAAGGATATTTGATGTTAAGGAATGAGTTCAATGTCTGTTTCAGAAATTAAGAGCCACCTTCCGAAGTTGCCAAAGGGTTTCCATTCATACAGTGGTACCTCGGGTTACGAACTTAATTCGTTCCAGAGGTCCATTCTTAACCTGAAACTGTTCTTAACCTGAGGTACCACTTTAGCTAATGGGGCCTCCTGCTGCCACGCAAATTCTGTTTTCATCCTGAAGCAAAGTTCTTAACCTGAGGTACTACTTCCAGGTTAGCAGAGTCCGTAACCCAAAGTGTTTGTAACCCAAGGTGTTTGTAACCCAAGGTACTACTTTATTTACCACCAGAGATTCAACTGCACATGTTGTCAGTCTTCCATGGGACACA